TTTTGATCATATTTTGCCACAGAGCATGGGAGGCTTTTGGCTGGACAAATGTGATGTGACATCTATGTATGTTCATATGGATATAATATGTACAAATGGTTTTTCTTCAAATCATTTTATATATGAATAGATTATTAAGTCGAGGCACAACAGGCTATTTTGCTTTAGATGGTAGGTGGCTAGAAACATAAATCTACTTTGTTGTCGATGATCGCATGTTCCACAATCTGCATTTTGCAGTACGAATTTTGCTCTAAGTGAAAATTCTCTTTATGCAATTTCTTGGGTGTTACTCAACTATGGTGTCTGAGTGAGAGATTTAAGTTGGAATTATGTATGCAGAACCAACTTAAGAGACTGAAAGTTTTAGTTTTTTATGGGATGAAGATCAACCAAACTCCTCTAAACTCTGAAGTAAGAGTTTGAATATGTAATGATTGGGGGGAAGTCGACGTATCATGTTCAAGTTGCAAGCATAAGTTGGAACGAAGCTTGGAGTGCCGATGATAGATCGACCAACTGATAGACTTCATTCTTTTTGGGGGGTATCGGTCAATCACACACTTTATCTATAAGATAGAGTTTAGCCTCTTTACTAAGAGTTTCCATCAATTTAATTGGGCTGCCTTGCATGAAACTTAAGCATCATAAAACATACAGTAAAGTTTGCATAGAAGATGTCATATGAGTGTGCTTTTCAGTTTGTTGATCGCACACCACCCTAGAGCTCTTCTGCAAGATGAACCAGCAAAAAATTATCCTGAAGGAATTAAATTGAAGCTAGGAAAAGGCGTTTATGATTCAACTCGAAACTTGAAACTACTTATACCCGTGTTGATTGTCCAATAAAATAACAAATCTGCATCCATAAAAGAAAGCATGCATCGAGACAATGGCATCTTATCTTCTCATACCTAGAATATGCCAGAAGTATTAAATTAGCAGTTCACAAGTGCTGGAGTGTTTTTGTGAGCTGAGACCTATTTTGACATCAAAGATGCCCTGCGTTGTTTTCTGTTTTCCATTTTCCGTTATTGAGCTGCATGGCATTCTGCTAAGGCATCTTACATTGAATGGATAATTATGCAGGTGTGCCTCGAATCTTCACCGACAAAGAAAATGCAGACATGGCATCACTTGAACAGCAATTCTCACATGAAAACGATGTCTTTTTCTTGGAATATATCAGAAAATCAAGAATCAACATCAATATCAGACAAGTATTTTAAGGTGCATTATTAGATCTTTATCCAATGTATTCCAGAGATTTGATTGATGTTGGAGTCAGAAAATTCTCTTCTAGGAGACTTCCACAATCCTTGGAGGTAAAAAGGAATAGAGAGAGAAGTCGAAGCAGAGGCTGCAATTTGAGGAGACAGAAATTTTTGAAAGGAAATGGGAGTTGGATATATCATCTGAATTATACTGACATGAATTCTGTTAGATTTTAATTTTATAAAAACTCTAAATTCGAATCATCAATTTTATTGTTTGTTAACGTCATGTTCCTAAGCTGCATGTTCTTGCCTAAACCTTAAAAGAAATTTAAAATTAAAAATAAATAAACAACAAAGTTTCTGCTACATGTAATTGTAGTCTTTATTCTCTACTACATATTATTAATATTGTCTATATTTACTTACATATAATATATTAATTATTTTTGCCAACTTTAATAAAATCAACAAACCATGGGCAAATAGAAAATATGTTTGATAATTTTTTTCTCAATAAAAAAAAATAAAAGCGAAACTGTAATTTAAGAATTGATTTGCCGGTCAAATTTGATCCAAGGCTGCGAAACGACGCTTTATTTGGCGGTATCCAACATGTGGCGGCTTCTTTTTTATGTTACGGAGGTGGAAAGGATGGCGCTCGGCGGTAGATTGAAATTTAGTGAAAAAATAAACACTCATTAATGTGGAGAGTGGGATTTGAACCCACGCCCTTTCGGACCAGAACCTTAATCTGGCGCCTTAGACCAACTCGGCCATCTCCACTCTGCTGGCGCTTAGAGGAACGTTATATTTAATTTACTAATAAAATATTATTTTTTTAAACGTTACTATCTTATATTTACCTTCTTTGTGTAACTTTGATTTGTTTAATCTTAAACTTATTTATCTTTGTATTTAGAAGATTGGAGACAGCATATGTTTTAAACCTATCATTTTTTTTGTAAAATAATTTTACTTAATATTTATTAAAGAAAGAAAAAACGAGAATTGCTTATAAAAAAAAAAATCATATTAAGTTGTAAACACGGAAAAGAAGTTTGGAGAAGAGAAGTGAGGCTTGTAAAAGCTTTTGTAGACTTAACTTTATGAAAATAAGAAGACTTTCAATTTTAGCATTAGGGTTTTTATTTATATATTTTATATTAAAATATTTATATATATTTTTATTAATATTCAAACATTACAATGAACTAGTGAACTATAATTCAAATTAGCCAGCTGACTAAATTTTGTATTTTTCAAGTATTTTTTAATTTTATTTAATTATTATAAAGAGCTAACTCAATATATCCAAATAAAAAAAGTAATTCTTAAATCAATTCACTAAGAAAATTTTTGGTTCTAATTACCCATTAAGTGTATGTGACTAATAATCAAGATAATAGTAAATTAGAAGTTTTTTTACAATCTATATTTTTCGAATAAATCTCTATTATAAATTTTATATTAACATAAAATATGATCACATTATCAACCATGTGCTCATAGCTTCAGCAAGCTTTAAATAATCATTTTTCATTAGATTTTATATGAAAAATTTTAGAAAATGTACGACCAATATAAACATAAAATTAGTGCACGAACCTATTAAAGATATGAATTATATAAGAGCTTCTAAAACATTATATTTTATAGTAACATAAAACACGATTATGTTATTAGTCACATGTGACAATTTTAATTGAAAACTTAGTTGGAGAATATTTGAAAGTAAACGATCAAAAAACAGACACAAAATTTGTTTAATTGGATAATAGATCTAAACTATGCCATATAATTAAGTACAATTGAAGTTATTTTGATCCATAAATTAATTTTATTTAGCATCTAAAACTAAATCAAAATTCATTTGAACACTCTAAATATTTCATCTCAAATCCAAATTAATTAATTAATTAATTACTTAAACTAGTTAATTTGAATTTGAATTTAACTTACATCTTGATTGATCTATTTAACTAAATTTAGTATCTTAAATTTAACTAGTCTCGTTAATTAAGCTTCAAAATATATTTAGACACGATATCTTTAAATTGTTAAAAAATATATATAAAATATGTTTTACTTATTTAGTTACTAGTGAATCATATATTTAATTAATAATATAGTTAATTAAATTTCATTTATATACCATAATTGATGTTTAATAATATTTTATGACTCTTAGAGCACATCAAAATAATATTTTAAGACAAAGACTTTTAGGTGGGCTTGAAGGCATTCAAGTTAGCTCGAGACATGAGGGATCAAAAGACACACGAGTATTGAGGTTGACTCACTTCTCCTTACCAACCACCTTTTACCAAATCGACATTTCGATACACCATAATGACACAATCATGACTAACGTTAGATATACTATCAAATTCTCCTTCATTATTGTTGAAACCAAGAGAGAGTAAAATAAGAATAAGTTAAGTTCATAGGATAAAATATATATATAATATAATAACATAAATTTTCTAACCCGAAATTTTCAGTCAAACTAATCATATTTAAATAGTCAAATTATGGTATAAAGATAATTATAAATCCTTACAAATTATGTTCAATATTTATAGATTTCTTATAAATAATGGGTAAAATTCTCATAAACTAATGGATAAAACTTTTAAACAAAATAACTAGTAGACCTATTAAAAAATATTAAAAACATGTAAATTTATTCAATAATTATATATGAATATAATATATATATATATATATATTATTTTAATAGAAGGAAATGGAGAATTGAATGGTCCCTAGTTGAGGTAGAAGCCTTATCCACTTCCAAAGTGAGGAATGATGAATTTATAGCCGTTGATGAATGATGATTAACTGTCGCGCGAATCACACCCCCAAAAACAAAAATAAAAAAAAAAAAAAAAAAATCTTCCAGTAGAAGCCAGAGAAATCTCAGTCCAATTGTGTGAAGGCCCAAGTCTTCTTCCAAAGTAGAGGAGGAGAACGACTGCAAATTATTATTATATTAAATTAAATTAAATAACTCTTTCCAAAGCCACCAAGCCCGAAACGTCAACGTGTACAATTCTCCAACCACTTTTATTTTCTTACAAAACCCCCAAATCAAATACTAAAAAACTAACCCACCAAAAATTTATAAAAAAAATAAAATATAAAAAAAATCTCTCCTTTTTTTTCCACTACTTTTAATTTCTCATCTTCTCCAATCTAATCCTTCTCTTCTCCGATCCTACCGAACCACCACGCCATGGGTCCGATCGTCTTGACTCAATTAGCCACCGGTCTCAGCGTCTTGGCCGGCGCCGTCCTCGTCAAATCGGTCATGGATCAGAAACCCATGGCTGGTCCGTTTACTAGATGCGCTACTTGTAACGGAACTGGTCGGGTCGCGTGTCTCTGCTCGCGGTGGTCTGACGGAGACGTTGGGTGTAGAACGTGTGCAGGGTCGGGTCGGATGGCGTGTAGCAGTTGCGGGGGAACAGGTACGGGTCGACCCATGCCGGTTCAATTATCTGTCCGACCACCGAACCGGTCCTCATGACCGGTCGGCTTTTGTTGGTTCTGGTACGCGTATTGTAATTAATAGCTAGCCCAGAAGTGTTCTGTGTTAGTTAGTTGTTGATTGAATTTTAATGGTGTATTATAAGTTGACTCGAGGAGAAAGAGAGAGATGGATTAGTTGGGTTGTAATGGGGGGATTGTTATAGAACAAAGTAATTAAGTTTATAGATTAATTTAATTTCCCTTTGAAAGTATTCAAATGGGTTTGCTCTTTTTGTTCGTTCAATAGTGTTGATTCGTTTAGAATCCAGGAAATTTATTGGCAGGGTTTATTTGAAAATTACTAATGGTGAATATGCAAGGATGAAGTCGAAGGAAATGCGGACTGTGTCTTCCCATCAGACCATGGAAGGCTATTTTGGGTAAAGAGGGAAGAAGAAAAATTAGTGTGATTTTCTATTACTATATGGGTTGGTTCAATCACGAATTAGACTCTACAATTATTCGAGTTTTAAGAAACCACCCACAATATATATAACTAGGGCATGAACAAAAACGTAGGATGAAATGGTTTCAGTTGTCTGACTTGAATTGACTTTTGGTCGGTGGATAAATTGGTAAGATCCATTTTAAGAATTTGTATTTACAAAAGGTTTGTGGGCTCTGTGTTTGATCATAAATATGGCGGAATCAGAGTTTAATTAGTAATGATATTATCAATAACTAGTGATAATATTACGGCTGTTTTCGTAATAAAACACAAACATTTGGTAATGTAATATTAATGATATTTTATCAAAATTAATTTACCAAACACTAAATATTTTTATACAATAACAGACTCTTAACTAAACAATCCTAAGCAAGATTTTGAGCCCTTAACAATGAACACCAAAAAATATGAATTCAGGAATCCAACAAAGGATTCATAAATTGCCAAAATTCCTATTTCAAAAGAAAATAAGTCGGCAAAATTCTCCCCAAAAAAAAAAAAAATCCACGTTGAAGCCATTTGGATAAGGAGTCTTGTCCTTTTTGTCTCTTCTTCTAAAAACTCTCTTTCTAGAACTAGTTTGTTTGGAGTTTGATGCCATCCTTCATCCAAAATCTTCATGGTATAATCTGTCAGAAATAGTCTCTAACATCCCTTCCTTAACCGCTTGTTTCCTTACACTTATCTAACCCCAACATCTCCGCATAATTGTTCCACCTATGTTGATTAGCTATACAATTAAAATACTAGTGTTTCTATTCTTCTCCATCCACCGAGCTCTTGAGGCCTTAGAGAGGGGGATTCGTTTTCTCATTGCCTTTTATTGTGGTAACAAAAGCTTTAAATAAGACGTCCACAAGAGCCAGGGGTGGGGGGAACACACAAATGATGTAACTCATCTACTTTCGCAAATGATACCATGCTATTTTCTGAGCTAGGTGAGCTTCCCATGCTTAACCTCCTATGCCTTTTTATGGGTTTCCAAGTGGTTTCAGGACGGAACTCAATACTAATCTAACCAATTAAATACTGAGAGTTTAGCTAAAGTTTTGGATTGCAAAGTTGTAAAACTGTGGATTAAATATTTGGGGTTACCGTTAGGGGCCAACTATAAAGAGGTGAGGACGTGAGAACCCGTGCTAGCTAGATTCGAAAAAAAAGTTAGCAGATTGGAAGATAACTCTTCTTTCTAAAAGGAAGACTTACGCTCATCAAAAGCACGTTGCAACTTACCAATTTATTATGTCTCTCTTGAATATTTTGGCAAGTGTTGCAAATAAATTGAAAGTCCCAATGTAAACTCTTTTGGGGTGAGTCAAAGGAAAGAATAAGATATCTGGAAGCCTATAAGGAGATTAAGAAGCCACTAGCCCAAAGAGGGCCAGGATAGATCTCTAGTGGAGATGAATATGGTCCTATAGGACAAATAGCTCTAAAGATTTATGAAAGAAGGCGGCATGTTATGGATAAGAGCGATAGAAGTGAATTATCAGACAGTTGCAACAGACCCAATAGTCACTTTAGCTTATCATCATAGCTTTGTACTAACCGGGAGTCGAACCCTGGGCACGTAACATGAATGAAGCTCGTGTTGGGGGGTTCTTGGATTTCGATTGATGGTTAAAATGAACGAAGCTCTTCAAGGTAAGTGGCTATGGAGATACTGGAAGGAAGAAAACAGAATGTGGAAAAAAGTTATTGAAGCCAGGCGGGGCAGCCTTAAACAGGACAACAGCAATTTCAGACAGTCCATTCCCCACGGTAGGGGTCTGTGGAAGAAGGTCTTGACTCAATGGCCACGGTTTGGGAGTTGTACCAGATGGAAACTTGGGAGAGGCAACAAAATAAATTTCTGGCACGATGACTGGACGGGTGAAGGTTGTTTTAAGAGCTGTTTTTCAAGAATTTATGACTTAGCGCAGTCTAGAAACATGCTGGTAGAGAACACTTATCAGGTGAAAATAACTTCATTGAGTGGTCTATCAATGTGAATAGAAATCTAAATGATCCGGAGATATTTGAATACAATACCATGTTGAAGATTCTGGCATCCCAACAAGTCAGCAACCAGCCTGATCAGATCTGTTGGTGTCTAGAAAAGAATGAAATTTTCTCTGTCCGCTCATACTATCAGTTTCTGTTTAATAAGGGTACTGGGGGTTTCAATAATTTCCACTTGAAGCAAATCTGGAAAACAAAGGTACCCCTGAGTGTTGCTTTTTTCGCTTGGGAGGCTTGCTAAGGAATCTCACTCTGGATAAATTAAGGCTGAGGGGTCTGGTTATAGTGAATGAATGTCATCTCTGCCTACAGGCTGAGGAATCTTGCAACCATCTCCTTTTATGGTGTCCTACTGCATATTATCTTTGGAGTATGGTTTAAAATTATCAATAATCAATTGGTTTA